GTATGTGAATCCTTTTCCTCATGTTCTCCTCAACTCTGGATTTTTTCATTTATTTTAAATATTTGTTATGTTATTATTTCCCATTATGAGAGATGAAAAGGAGTTTGTAGCCATTATTTTAATTTGCATTTCTATTGTGATGTTCTCCTAACTTTCAACTGAATATTTGAACAATACTATCTCTTATTTTTCCATCTAGTTTTCTGAATATTCTTCTATCTTTTCATGCCGGGATATCAATTTCCTATTGCTGCTCTAAGAAAATACCACACATTTTGCGGCTTGAAACAACATAAATTTTCTGTAACAGTTCTGAAGACCATAAATCCAAAATATAGTCTTAAACCCACTGCCATTGAGTCAATTCCTACTCATAGTGACTCTACAGTCTAATCAAAAAAACATCCTTTTCCATTGAGTTGAGTCCAACTCATAATGACTTTACAGGACAGAGTAGAACTGCCCCATAAGGTTTCTAAGGCTATAAATAATTATGGAAGCAAACTGCTTTGTCTTTCTCCTGGGGAGCAGCTTGTGGGTCATAACCATTGGGTGTGCAGCCCAATACTTTAACCACTACAGCGCCTACAGTCTTTTGTTGTTGTTGTTGTTTGGTGCCATCATTTGGCTCCAACCTATAAAGACCCTATGTACAACAAAACAAAACACTGCCTGGTTCTTCACCAGTCTCACAAGCCTTGTTATACCTGAGCCCATCATTGCAGCCACTGTGTCAGTCCATCTCAGTGAGGGCCTTCCCCTTTTTCACTGAACTTCTACTTTACCAAGCATGACATCCTCCAGGGAATGGCCCCTTTGGGCAACATGACCAAAGCAGGTGAGACAAAGTCTAGCCATTCTCACTTACAAGGAGCATTCTACCTGCACTTCTCCAGGACAGGTTTATTAGTTCTTCTGGCAGTCCATGGTACTTTCAGTGTTCTTTGCCAACACCACAACTCAAAAGCATCAACTCTTCTTCTGTCTTCTTTATTCATTGTCCAGCTTTCACATGCATATGAGTCTTAGGGGGCTAAAAGTAAGGTGTGAGTAGGGCTGGTTCCCTTTGGAGCCTCCAGGGAAAAATTGCTCCTTGCCTCTTCCAATTTCTGTAGGCTGCTGTCGTTCTTTGGCTCTTAGTCCAATTTCACATTGTGCCTTCTCCACAACTGACTCTCTTTTCTCTCTCTTGTAAGTACCCTTGTGATTAGATTTGGTTTGCTGAAAAATCCAGGATAATCTCCCCTTATCAAAATGCTTAATTTAATTATATCATGAAAATTCCACTTGCCATGTGAAATGTCATATAGTTTTTGGGGATTAAAATGTGAGCATCTTTGGGGAGGGGAGTCATTATTCAGCCTTCCACACATTCTTTAGATACTGGTGTTCACGGCCATCCCACTCTTGATCACCATGTCTCTTGAATCTCCATTCTTTCACTAAATGATCCTATCTATTCACATTCAAGTACTATATATTGATAATTCTTAAATGTTTATCTTCAAGTCCAACTTCTAACCAAAGTTCCCAAAGTGTATTACCAAATGCCTACTAGCTCCCTCCCTGTACTTACAACTCTTACCACAAATTCAATATCTGGAAAAGAAAAAAAAAAATGTCTCTTTATTTGTACTTTTCAAGCCTAGTATTCCTCCTTCTATAGCATTCTCAGAGTCAGTAAATGAACACTTCCAGGCTCTGTGTTTCTCTTTTGTTCCCTGCAATAATTAATCATCAATTCATGTAAATTCTCTTTTTAAAGAGCCATCAAATCCTTTTCTTCCTCTTTATTGCAAATTTTACTACCTTAGTGACAATTTTCAGCATTTCATGGTTGAATTATTATGATTCGTGACTGATTCTCTACTTGACTTTTACATTTCTTCCAACTAATTTTTAGAGCACCTTCAGAAGGATATTTGTAATGCTAATCATTACATTCTTATGTGTCAGACTGTTTCCTCAGCTGTAGGAAAATATTCAGATACCTTTGATAATGTTTTAGGATTTAGTCTCAACTTTCCTAGAGGAAGTATCAGTAGCATTTGAATAAGGGCTAAAGAGGAGAGGGGAAAAAGGTAAAGGAGAATAAGAAAGAAGATTTTCCTAAGGTAGAAATCCAAAGTACTTAATAGGGAAGATGGAGAGATTCTACATCTCTAATTACGACTGAAATGAAAGTCTTTATAATGATTTCATCATTACCCTGGAAAAAATCTTCAAAAATATGAGTTAGTTTGATCATTTCCATACTAAGATATATAGCCTAAAGTTAAACTAACCATGAAAATGTTTGCTCTCTCAACTTTTAGAAGAGAGCCTCTGTGATCTTCATTTGAGGTAGCTCTCAGATTTAGTTGAATGGGTCCATAATGAGGATGGAGTTGGAGCATTTTCTGGATGATGGTGACACATTTTATACATTATTCATTCCCTGCCCCCTTAATGTGGGAAATATTTCTTTTTTTTTTTTTTTTAATTGTGTTTGGGTGAGAGTTTACAGAGAAAACTGGTTTTCCATTCAACAATTCATACACATTTTGTTTTATAACATTCATTTCAATGCCCACAATGTAACAGCACATTTCCCACTTTCTCTGTGTGTTTACCATTTCCTTTGACTTTCTTTCCTAACTCTTCCTACCTTCTTAGTTTTATCTCTGGGCACATGCTGAACTTTTGATGTCATATGGTTGATTGTTGAGTGCATACCTCCCTGGCATTATTGTTCACCTTCTAGGCCCATCTATATTTGGCTGAAAGTTGAACCACAAAGGTGAATTTCCGTTCCCAGGTTGAAAGTGTCTTAAGAGGCATACTCTCGGGGGTTCCATCAGTCTTCATCAGAGAAGTAAACCTAGTCATTTTTATAACTTTGTGTTTTGTTCCACATTTTTGTCTCACTCTATCCAGAACTTCCTATTGTGATTCCTTCCAGAACTGTGAGCATTGTTAACCAGGCACCATCTAGTTCTGGTCTCAGGGTCATGGAGACTGAGGTTCATGTTGTCCATTAGCCCTTTGAATTAATTGTTTCCTTGTATATTGATTTTCTTCACTCTTCTTTGCTTTGAATAGGGAGAGAATATTAGCTGCACATTAGATAGCTTCTCAGCAACTTTTAAGACTCACCTTGCTACTCAACAAAATAGGAGGTAGAACATTATTTTTGTGGACTATGCTATATCAATTGAATTTAGTATAACCTGAGATTATGGTCCTGAGAACCCATACCCAGTAACCCATTCCCTCAAGGTGTTTGCTTATGACTAAGAAGTTTTCATAACTTTGCCCTCTGTATGTTCTAGTATATGCATGATATATTTGTAGCACATATAAGGCTGGTGGTTCAAACCCACCAGCCACTCCTTGGAAGGAAGGTTGGGCAATCTACTTCCATAGTGATATTGCCTCGGAAACCCAAGGAGGTATCGCTATGAGTCATGGCCGACTTGATGGCATATAACAACAAAACAACAACAACATACATAAGTAGAGATATCCTCTGCCAACTCTCTATATATGTGTGAATGCAGCCCCATTCACCTTAAAGGTGGGAAATATATTCTGTTACATATCTTTTAGAGATAAGGAAACTAAGGATGCAAGGACAGTGAATAACTGGCCCAAAGTTCCTGGCTAATCAATAGTGGGCCCTGGAGTAGAACTCAATTCAATGTACTTCCAACGAGTATTATGTTCTTTTTCATAAGATATTTAACTCAGAAAAGTAAAAGAGAGAAAAATGCAAGTAATATGAGGGTCAATTTTCATTATTTTCTTCTTTGTAATTACATAAATTTTCCTTTCCTTTCTTTTTAACTCACATGGCCGAGATTGAACCTCAAAATGATACAACTCCTTGTTTCTTACCAACTGGACCAGAGAAGCCTAATGCAAACACAATATCACTGTGCAAACATTTTATTGTTACAAAGACTGGAAGCCACTTCATTTTCTGACAGTGGGTATCAGAGCATAGAGTCAGTTTATATGGTGGGTAACTAAGTCCCAGGAAAGCAATTGAGGTTCATATTTCAGAAGAGTTACAGCCAGAGATAAAGTCCTGAACTGCATGAGCTTGCCTCACTAGCTGAGAAAAGAAAAAAAGGTCAGACTATAAAACTTGATTTTCCATTTGCTAAGAGAAATTCATCATTGAAACTTGTGGAGTGGCCCATTATTTGAGATGTAAGGCACCTTCTCTGAGCAAAGCTGATTGACTGATAATTTTTATGCTCTTAATTATTTGAACTCAAATGTACATGGCCTGTTAAGTCATGTTAGGTCAGATAATTAATCATGGTTTATTGAAATGGGTTCTCATCAGAATATACTCATTAGTTCTATCACGTTTAATAAGATTAGTGCTTCAACAATAATTGCAGAAAGCTCAAGCTTAAGGGAAAAGAAAAAGATTTGTAAAGAAGTCATGATTAATTTGAATCTTTTGCTTTGTCTTAACAATTAGGTAATTCTGAAATAACTGTACAAGTGGGAAAAGAATTCTCTAAGAATCTTAATAGTCTTACAAGAATTTTATTTAACACTTTTATAGAGGTCAAGTTCCTATTGTTATTCATCTTGTACATAGAAACATTATAGAGAAAATATTTTTATCTTTTATTCTCAATAATTATTTGTAGCACTTTTGCATTATTTGACATCTCTATGAATTGAAATAGGTTTTTACTGAGCTATTTTGGTGACTATAGCTGCCAAATATGAAAAATCCATTTTCAAATAATTTGAATCTAATAGGTATTTCTAACTGTTCCACACTATACCCTGAGAGGGCATAGCAATTTTTCTTGATACAGAAGGCAATTCAGAATCTCCAGTGTTCTAGATTCAAGCTTATGAGAATTAGTTACCTCCACAGAGAGAGTAAGAAGTGAATTGATACACACCTCTAACAAATAAGTTATTGAAAAAAAATCTAATTGAAATTTCCACTGTTTGTTCATATGTTTTTATTTATTTATTCTACTTTTAGAATGAAAGCTCTTGTAGTATTGGGAATTACACTTATTTTGGCCTGCACTGAAGTTTTCTTCCCTTTCATCTTCAGAAGCAAAGACATCTTTTGGGGTAAGTAACAAAAAAAAAATAGTATCTTTTGACCTCATAAAGTAATTTTCACATTTACCAAAACAGAAAACACAATGCTAACTCTTAAGAATCAATAAGATCCCTGTGATGTATGCTTTATTGTGTTTTTCCAATAAAAGAAAAATAATTCTTGAATTTGGAAGGATTAAAATACAATTATTTCTGAAAAAGAACTGAATTTTCTACCATTAAAGAATAGGAAATTTTCATATTTACCTGCTTATATATTTGGAGGGAGCTTTGGTAGCATAGTGCTAACCAGGAGGCTGACGGTTCAAATGCCACTCCTCAGAAGGAAGGTTGGGCAATCTACTTCCGTAGTGATACTGCCTTGTAAACCCAAGGAGGAGGGGTCTCTATGAGTCAGGTCCGACTCGACGGCACATAACATAACATAACATAACATATTTGGGAGACAAAATTTGAAGGGGAGTAATTATTTATACCTTTGCAACAAAATCATTTTTCATCAAATAACTCTAATATATATATATATATATATATATATATATATATATATATATAGTATTCACGGTATTATAATGTCAAATTAGATTAAGAAAGCTACAGTAGTGCAGTGGTGAAAGTAATCAGAGGTCTTATTGTTTTGTTTTGCTTAAACAAAACCCCAAGCACTGAGAACAAATTGTACACAAGTCAAATACAGGCATACCTTAGAGGTATTTCAGGTTCAGATCTAGACTGCTGCAATAAAGCAAATAGGGCAATAAACCAAGTCATGTGAATTTTTTGGTTTCACAGTGCATATGAAAGTTATGTTTATACTAGTGTGGTCTACTAAATGTGCGATAGCATTATGAAAAAAATTTGAAATATTGTAAGAATTACCAAAATGGGACATAGAGACGTGAAGTGAATACATGCTATTGGGAAAATGGCATTGGTAGAATTGCTCAATGCAATGTTGTCACAAAACTTCAATTTGTAAAAACACAATATCTGCACAATGCATTAAAGCAAAGCACAAAAAACAAGATATGCCTATATTAGAGGGACATATGCCTAGAAATTTCAAATTTAATGGATATTCTCCAGCATTCTGGAAAAATTTAAACCTTACTCAACAGGTTCATGTCTCTCAAAAGATCATTACTATCCCATCTGCTCAGACTTCCTGGAGATTTTACTCATGTCAACCACTCTCTTAGAAATTAGAGGCCCTTTTCCTAACTATCTTCCAGGGAATTGTCAAACTTTTCTGAATCCTTGTTGCTTATATTCATATCAAGCTGTGCCGTCTCCTCCTGAAAGTCACATTTTTTCAGGTTTATTGAATACTAGGACTTCATGACCATATTTAAAAGTTGTAATAAAGTACTTCAATGAAGCACAGGTGGTTTAGGAAAACTCCCATTCCACACATGTCTTCAGGAACTAGGTAGTAAAGTAGTTACAAACCTGAGCTATGAAGTCACATAAAGCAGGCTTCAAAACCTATTTCTGCTGTTCACTACCTTGGGCAATTTGGGCATGTTACTTAATCTTTTTAAGTTTCCATTTTCTCATCTCTAAAATGGAGAAAACTGAAAAATTACCCATTAAAGCTATTATTTATGAGCATTAAATAAGATACTCCATTTAAATTATTAAGTGCAGTCTTAATTATCTAGTGCTACTATAACAGAAATACTATAAGTGGATGGCTTAGACAAAATAGAAATTTCTTTTCTCACAGTTTAGGAGGATGGAAGTCCAAAATCAGGGCATTTGCTCTAGTGGAAGGTCACTGTGTGCTTCCTACATCTGTGGGCTTGGCATTCCTTGGAGATGTCCATGTGTCTTAGTATCAATCTTCCCCAAGGTCTAGGAAGTTCTCAGTGTAGGGACCCCAGTTACCCCAGTTCCAATGGATGTGCTCTTCTCCTTGCTCTTCTTTCTTGGTAGTAGTGAGGCCCATTTCCTCTTTGTTCTTTTCTCTCTCCCTTTATCTCTTTTAAGTAAGAAGGTATGTCTCAAGCAAGGATGTGACTTGAGTAAGGGTATTGTTTAAGTAAAAGTGTGACTTGAGTAAGGGCATGAGTCTTACTCTCTTATAAGGTTATGTATGATTCAAGACACACCCTACACTGATCTTGTCTCATTAACATATAGAGATTGGGATTTATAACACATCACAAAATGGAGGATAGTTTACAAAACGGAGAATAACAACACAATGCTGGGAGTCATAACCTAGCCAAGTTGACACTTGTATTGGGGGGTGGGGTGAGGGCAAAATTCAATTCACGAAAAAGTGCGTTGTGCCTGGCCAATACTAGAGAAAATTAAATCAAGGGAGATTCATATTTTAAAGCTTCTCAAATAAAAGTAATTACATGTCTTTCCTCAATAAGTCAACCATTCTGTACATAATTGATGTACAGCAAATGTTTTCTGAATTAATTCATTTGTCCTTTAATTTTGTATTTCTTGAAGTCTTCATTCTAAAAAAATCATAATAAAGCAGTTAGATGTAGCTAGCTATGAGCAAATTGTTATGAATGAAAGTTATTTAATAAAATATAAAAAACTATGCCACATTTTTTTTAATTTTAGAAATCATAATTTTAAAAATCAGGAAATTTAATATTTATTTCTTTGCAAGAGCATTTTTTAAAAATTTTACACACTTCTGAGAGGGTGATTATTTATTTGTTTTGCTTAAAATTTCAGTAAATATTTGGAAAAAGAAGATGCTATTTGATTTTCCCATTTGTTTTCTTTTATACTGCTTATACTCACAGCATGTGCAACACAAGGGCAATTGATTGTTTCTTCCACATTTCCTAGGGAGCTCTGGTAGCATAGTGGCTAAGGCACTTGACTGCTAACCAGAAGGTTGGTGGTTCAAACCTACTAGCCACACTCCTCAGAAGAAAGTTGGGGCAATCTACTTTTATAGTGATACTGCCTCGGAAACCCAAGGAGGGGTCACTATGAGTCGGGTCCAACTCGAAGGCACATAACAACAACAACAGCAGCAACATTTCCCAGAACTAGCCAAAAAAGTGGTCCACAGCACTAGGCCACCAGGGACCCAAGGGGTCTTTGACTGTCAAATGAGCCACAAATAACTATCTGTAGAAGGAATTTGCTCCTAAGTAGTAGTCTTTGCTGTATGGGTAGCTCATATTCAGTCTAATTCAATCACTTATTTTACAAAACAGGATTAATAGGATCATAGAGGTTTAATTTGTTGTTGTTGTTGTTGTTGTGTGCCGTCGAGTCGGCCCGGACTCATAGCGACCCCTCCTTGGGTTTCCGAGGCAGTATCACTACGGAAGTAGGATTGCCCAACCTTCCTTCCGAGGAGTGGCTGCTGGGTTTGAACCGCCAGCCCTCTGGTTAGCAGGTAAGTGTCTTAGCCACTATGCTACCAGAGGTTTCATAGGTGGTAGAAAAGATGGTCAAATTCAAGTGTCTCTTTTCTCAAGTCTTCACATAAAAAACAACACATGAAGCACCCTCATATTTGAAATTGGATTATAAGAAAAATCAAAAACAAACTCACTGCCGTCAAGTCAGATCCAACTCATAGGGACCCCTCCTTGGGTTTCCAAGGCGGTATCACTGCCGAAGTAGATTGCCTAGTCTTCCTTCCCAAGAGTGGCTGGTGGGTTTGAACTGCCAGGCTTCTGGTTAGCAGTCAAATGCCTTAGGCACTACGCCACCAGATTATAAGAAGTGAAGGAAAAAAAAGGTCAGTCCTGGATATTCACAGTAGCAGATACTCAGTTTCACAAATTAGTTTGTAAATTATAGAAATGTTTCAGTATCAAAGAGATAGCAAAGCCCTTGCACTTAGTAAAGCATGAACAATATCTCATTAAATAAAAGTTCCAGCATAGATGCCCAGAGGCTATCAGAGCATAGAAAGAAAGAAACTAGCACCTGCAAAATTCTGTAATTCAAACTAATTTGAAAATAAAAAATGATTTCATTTTTGCCCCTAAAAATATGTATGACCATTGTGGTTCTAGGAAACAAGCAAGAACACTAAATGGAGTCTTTATTATGATAAGCCATATGTATTCATCACCACACAGATTGTGGTGTTTGTGCAAAGTCAAGATTTATGTGCAATTATCTTTACGGAAAATGTTTCAACAAGTTATAGCTGTTAAAAGAAAATAAGATGCAAATTAACAGCTAGAAGCTGAGGTATTGCCTGTAGATTGGGAAATTTTGGGAAGCCAGCCTAATGAGTGAATTTGTTTGAAAAGGAAAAGTTGGCAAACTCCATTCCAGTTCACTGGATTTCAGCAAACACGGATTATTAAAGGAAGGATGAAATTGGAGAGCTCTAAGTAAAAGAAATAAAACCCAAGTGCTCAGAGTTAGTCAAGGATAAAGATCAGAAGCGAGAAGCAATTTATTATTTTAGAGAAGGCAAGTTTCAGTTTTCTTGTCTGCTTGTTTTTTATAATAACTTTGATAATAAGTGCCTTCCCTCTTCTTCCTAAAATCGTATTTTGTTACATAATGGCTTCCTGAATCCCAGCTAAATGTATAGATGAATATGCGTTGAGGAGAAATGTTGCTTTTTGGGGGTTGGGCTCAGTGAGCCATATCAAAGAGCTAACAGTTTTTAGAATGCACATATACTGAGAGTTAGGAGACTAAGCTGGTATCTCCGGATTAATTACTACATAACTGTATGATGTCAGACAAGTCAAGGAGCTTTTTAGAATTGAGTTTTCAGATATTAAAAAAAATTAGGTTCCAATTTTTCAAGTCTATAATGCTACAAGAGGCCCTGGGTGATGCTAATGGTTAATGGGCTCAGCTGCTAACTAAAAGGTTCAAGTCCATAAGTCCATCCAGAGCACCCTCAGAAGAAAGGCCTGGTGATCTACTTCTAAAAAATCATTCATTGAAACCCTGTGGAGCACAGTTCTACTCTGACATACATGAGGCCATCAAGGTCAGAAACAACTAGACAGCAACTGGTGGGGTGATGCTATGATTAGATGCTGCTGTTTTGGACAGCATTCTCCACTCTCACCCTTTCAGATTGCTCTAAACCCCAGCAGAGAGAGATGCGAAATGATGAGATGGATTAAGGAACTTTGAAATACTGACAAATCAGTAATTTCCATTCAGCAAAAAAGTAATTCATTTAAACAATTAATATCTATCCTTTCCAGAAGAGATTTGAGACTATCGTAGATGACAAGTATATTTTTTGGACGAAATATTCCAATTCTTATACAAGATTTGAAGAGAATAATAATATGGATGTCTGTAAATCTATCTTAAATAGTAAAATAGTCTGTAACTATAGAAACTAAGAATCTTAAATAAAATACATTAATTTTGATCAATAACAAGCAATTAATATCTTTTGTAGCTTCTATTTCTGGGAATAGTGGAGATAGATAAACATTTTACTTTATATTTAATTAGTTGGTTCTTAAATAACTGTAAAGTGCCTGCTAACTACCAGTCATTGATCTAATTACTGAAGAAGATAGTGATAAGTAGAAAATATTACCTACCTCTAAAAAATTTACATTAATATGACTTACATACACAGATGACACAAACAAGGAATTTTTTTTTTTTTTTTCTGGCATATAAAGAGAAAGAGGATCAAGAAGAGTTTGTAGAAAAGGAGGTGTTTGAGCTGGAAATTTGAAGTTGAACATTTTATAAGATGAAGGAGAATTTTGGCGTTAATCATGTTCAAGTATGAAAATAGGTTATGGTCAGATTGGAAAGGGCCTAAACTCCACAGGAAGAAGGCTAGATATAATTCTGTAACAATTGGGCAATCTTAAAACCCTTTAATAAAATCACAGACACAGTCAGATCTTTGTTTTAGAAAGGTTACTTGGGTTATAGCACAAACAAAACTTTATTATTATTATTTTTTAAGTTGCCATGGAATCAACTCCAAGTCATGACAACATCATGTGTATCAAAATAGAACTGTGCTCCAGAGTTTTCAATGGTTGTGATCTTTCAAAAGCAGATAACCAGGACTTTCTTCTGAGCACTCTAGGTGTATTCATACTGCCAACCTTCAGTTATTAACAAAACGCTTAACCATTTGTGCCAGGAATACCACCAAAAGAACAGGAAGCATACAGAAGTGAGGCAAGAGGCTCTTTCTACAAAGGAAGTGAGAATGGAAAGGGCAAATAATTTTTCAAATTATATTAACACATGTAAAAGAAAAGAAAAAAAAATTACTGTATCTTGCTTGTAAACTTGATTTACTGGGTGAATATTTGAACCACTAACACAGGGAATAGAAAAGAAGGAGCATGGGCTTAAATTTCAGGATAGAAGTTCAAGGTGAAGAGGGGTATTTGGGAGAGGATAATAGAGAATGAAAAGACTAGAAGTGCCAAAGATGGACCCTGAGCAACAACAACAGGGAAGAAGACATGGGGAGAAGAAAACCCAGTAATTGAGACTGAAATAGAATGGTCAGATACTTAAGGAGTAGAACAAAGAGAGGAGTACCATAAATTAAAAATTAAAAATCTAAATTTCTTTGAGCACTTAGGATTTGTCAGACTCTCCCCAAGAGTTTTACAAACTTTCTTCTTTGATTCTCAAAGCAATCCTATGATGTAACTATGATAACAAGTGAACTAACTCAGAAACTTAAGTGATTTGCCAAGTTATTCAGAAATGAGATTAAAAAGCTCTTCCAATACCAAAGTTCATACGTGTAACCAATCTTCTATATAACGATGCCAGTAATTAACAACTGTAGCATCAAAACAAAATTATTCTTGTTAGGTGCCATTGGTTCTACCTCATAGTGGCCTTATGTACAATGGAAAGACACACTACGCAGTTCAGGGACATCCTCTCAATCAGTACTATGTTTGAGCCCATTACTGTAGCCACTGTGTCATTCCATCACATTGAAGATCTTCCTGTTTCACTGGCCATCCACTTTACCAAGCATGATATCCTTCTCCAGAAACTGGGCCCCCTTGATAATATGACCAAAGAACAAGAGATGAAGTCACACCATCCATGCTTCTATGGAGCTCTCTGGCTCTATCCAAGACAGATTTGTTCGTTCTTCCAGCGGTCAATGGTGTATTCAATATGCTTCACCAACACCACAATACAAGTGCATCAAATCTTCAGTCTTCCTTATTCATTGCCTAGCTTTCACATGCTTTCATATGAGGTGATTGAAAATACCATGGCTTATGCCAGGCACACCTTAGTCTTCAAAGTGCTATCTTTGCTCTTTGATACTTTAAAAAAAGTCTTTTGCAGCATAAGTGCCGAATGCAATATGTCATTTGAGTTTTTGATGGATATTTCCATGGGTGTTGATTGTAGACCCAAGTAAAATCAAAATCCTTAAAAAATCAATTAGTTATGGTAGTTATTGAATTTGGCAAAAAAGGATCATGACTGACTTCAGAAATTAAAATATGAGTTGAATTGTGAGGTCAGATGCATTCGATTTAGTAGGAAATAAAAGGAAAATAACAAATGTAATCTAAAATCATGTTAGTTTGTAAGTCTTTATGGGGGCTTACCTGTCCCTTGAGATCTGGCCAAAATTTTCATAAAACCCCAATACTCTGTTCCTTGGAAGTTCAATCTCTACTGCACAATTTTGCACATCTTCAGGCTGTGTACTTTCTCAATCTTATATGCCTCTTGGTGTCTAATTCTTCCAACATTACCACTTTCCTGTGCCGTATTATTTTAATATTAAATTACATATTTTATTAAGGTTCCATAATCAAGGTTTCATGAGCATTATAACTCTATGGAGTACTGCAGAAAGTGGTTGCCCAAAAAGACTTGTATCCTACATGCATGCACAGACCTCTGACATCTTTAGTACACCCTCTCTCCTCCCTTTCTTGTCTGATTTTCCTCACTAGTTCAGACCATATTGTACAAGGAAGGCTCTGTTTATCTTTCTCTACCAAATCATTGGGTGGTTCACTCTGGACCTCAAGCACTCAATGAGATCTTTACTCCTGTTCTCAATGAGTAAAATATTTCCCTCAGAACCCCAAGTGACAATCCATAAAGGAATTTTTCTTAACTTTGTTATAATACACTTCAAAGAAATTTGGTGGTCCCACAAATAGGCACTCTTTCTCTAGCCAAAATTAAATAGAATAAGTACTTGTAATGGTATTTTTTGTTTAGTGGTGGGGGAAAAGGTTGAATGAGTTTGAGTTTAAAGGCCTTGAGAAGTCTTCAATCAACTTTCTAGCAGGTCTACCATGTGCCAGGTTTATTCTAAACATTCCTTATCACTGGTTTATAGAACTAAAATATTCATTAGAAAGTTTTAAGAATGATTATATATATAGAATAATTATATAAGAATTATTATAACTTATTTGGGCAAGTAATCTAAAGTAATATTGGGTAATAACAATGTTGACAATTTTTCTCATCTCATTCTATAGACTTCATTGTGAAATAGGAATTAATACCCCATTTTATAATTGAAAAATGAAGGCTCAAAGAGGTTAAGTAACCTATTCAGGATCCTATAGATTTAGTTGGCACCAGAAGCCATTTTGCTATCAAAACAAATTTGATGATAAAGTTAAAAATGGCAGAGAACTGTCAAACTATAATTGTGTTTTGATCGTATAAAATTATATTGCATAGGAAAGATGGAAAAATCTCATGTTCTCAACATTTTGGAAGAGAGTAAACTCATGGTGGATAATGCTATCTACAATACAATGAAAAGGTAAGGCCTCAAAATGGGGAAAAAGTGGGAATGAAGGGAAGTTACATTTCCAGACACTATATGTCACATTCTTTTCATATATTGTCTATTTTAGTTTTCACAATTACCTCCAAACTTGATTCTATTATCTCCATTTTATAAATTAGGAACTGAAACTCAATTAGATTAATTCATTTATTCAATATCACATGCTAGCAATTGATAGAACTAATATTTAAATATTATATTCTTTCTTTAGCAAAATGTAGTGCAAAAACACATTGATAAGGTCAATAATTCAATATATTCAGGTTTAAGAGATAATATGTATTGAAATCTTGATATAAAAATGGCCTCTTACTTCAACCATTAGGCTAAATTAAGGACAAAAGGAGAGATCATTTTGGTTAGTGTGATATAATGAATTGTTAATTCTACCTATCATTCTATTTTTTAAAATAATTAAGGAACACCTTAATTTTAAGCATATTACAGATATCTATACTAAGGTTACTATGTGGTCTCTTATATTCTATGTTTGGAAAACAAAACAAACAGAAAACTGAGAAGCAGACATTGTTCTCACAGCTTGTTGTTTTGAAAGAAGTAAATAATGATTAGTTAAGCTTAGGGAACAAATGGTTTGTACTAGACTATTAACATAAAGGCTGATGATTTGACCCCACCCTATGGGGAAGCCTTGGTGAGCTAATTCTATAAAGATTATAATCAAGAAAACTCTGTGGAACTCAGCTCTACTTCGTAACACATGAGTCATGAGTCAAAATCCAGAGCAATGAGTAAAGATGAAAAATATCACAAGGCAACAGCTAATTTATTTCCAATATTTATTGTTCCAGCCAGGAAAAAAAAAAAAAATCTATTGACTGCACACTAATTTTTACTTGTTTTCTAGAATCTTGAATCAGAGAGGAAAGAAATAGAAAAAAACAACTCTCATCAACTCATACAGACATGCTATGAATTATCCAGTAATAAATGCAATGTATATCAAGTGCAAAGTAATTAATTTGTCTGTTACCTTTTTAATAACAGTTGCATATTAGGCAGCCCATTTTAAGATAAATGCCTTGCTTCTAAGAGGAGTTATAGTAGTAAGAATTTACAGGTTATGGAAGTACTTTGGTAATGTTTTATTGGAAAGATTTGCTTTTTGACAGCTATCAAGTAATAATCTATAAAACTAATTAAACTATTTAAGAAATATCATTTATATTATATACTAGACTCTGTGCTAGATGCTGGAGATACAAAGGTGAATTAAAAATATTAACCTTTCTCAAGGAGCTCTCATTTCATCTGTAAAAATAAGCATATAAATAAATAATCCATTTATTCTAGGAATGAGCACACTATAAAACCAAATCAAACCCACTGTCATTGAGTCTATTCCAACTCACAGTTACCCTACAGAACAGAGTAGAACTGTCCCGTAAGGTTTCCAAGGCTGTAAATCTTCACAGAATCTGACTGCTTCATCTTTCTCCTGCAGAGTGGCTGGTGGGTTTGAATGGCCAACCCTTTGGTTAGTAGCTGAATGCTTTAACTACTACACCATCAGAGCTCTTTAATGAGCACACTGTAGATAATGGGAAAATATTCTGGTTGATCAGCTGTAAAATAACTTTCAGTAAAATTTTAAGAATAATAAAATATTTTTTACTCAGAACAGTCAAAGTAGCCAGAGTTTTAGCATTTGTTCCAGTTCCCTGAGAACCAATTCCTAGAAAGCAGCACAAAGAAGTCAAAGTGATGCCTAAGTACACAGTGGGTTGCACTGTATGAAAGAAACCTCAACCTTAGGAATCTGAGTCTTTTATAATGAGGAGTAATCCTGCCTGGCTTTTGCCTTGGAGGGAGATATCTTTATTATATGGATAGTATAATAGTTTGTTCTGGATGAAAATATTTTTCTATATTCCAAAGATGTTCATTATGGAAACATCCTGAAAAAGATAGTACTTTTCTTACAAGGCAAGCAGATACTATCAAGAACTACAAAGAATTGTCTCTTAACAATATCCACCATTCATTTGTATACCATTTTGGCTTCTTATGAATTTTTCCATAATTGTATTTCTCAGTTGACCACTCTAATTAATCTGACTGGAAGAGGCTAGGACCATATGAATTAACATATCTCATACATTTAATTAAAGGTACAAATGGTTAAGCACTTGACTACTAGCCAGAAGGTTGGTGGTTCCAACACATCTAGAAGTACCTATGAAGACAGGCTTGTTGAGGTCTATCCCCAGTGAAGCCAAAGCTTCCAGATAAGTTTGTGCAGAGAGACCAAAAAACAGACTTGAAATCACTCTCAGAGACGTAAAAGTTTATTTGGGGAGAGCTTACAGCATAAGCAGCACTGCATCCAGAGGTGGCTGGCTGGTCAGGTTTCGGGTCTGCACCCCTCCCATTTCTCTCAGGTTTATGTACTGGGTTCATATACTAAAAGGTAAACAACCAAAGGGAAGCTTCACAGGGCAAGAGGTTCAGACACTGAGGTGCCTGGTTCCAAGCGGCCAGAGGCAATAAAATGCCCAGAGGCTGGTGGTCAGGTAGGAGGAGGTATTTCTTCTCAATAAGACACCACTATACATTAGGGGCTGTGGTGGCATAGTATCTAAGGCACTTGACTGCTAACCAGAAAGCTGGTGGTTCAAACCCACCAGCCACTCCTGGGAAGGGAGGTTGGGCAATCTACTTCTGTAGTGATACCACCTCGGAAACCTAAGGAGGGGCAACTATAAGTTTCCTCAGACTCCAGGGCAGTGAGTTTTTGTTTGTTTGTTTTACATGTTAACTAAGGAACATGACCTGCACGGGGAAAAAAGTGAAGGAAAGTAATTATTTAGTGTTTTCTTTGTAAGAAGGAATTTGCTTTCAAAATGGAGACCAGGAGCATGTTGGGGTGTTTGAAGGCCTGTCTCATAGGAGGCTCAGCAATCTGCATCCAAAAGGACACAGCCTTGAAAACGCTATGAAGTTGTTCTACTCTCTGCACACACAGGGTTGCTATGAGTCAGAATCAACTCAGTAGCAACCAACAGCAACAACATCAACAGAACTCCAAGCAGCTGAATGAGACCAATCTCCAAGACTGATCTCAACCTTAGTAACTATGTTAAATACAAGATCCAACTATGTGAACAAATCTCAAAATCCATCAAGGTCTAATTTAGATAGTTTGGTGATCTTCTTAGGTTACTGAACACCCCTGTTTGCTAGGTAGAGCAGAATTTCTTAGGGATTTCACAGATTGTTCCTTGGCCTTCAGGGAGGAAGTAAAGGGCTATTCTACTATCCGTAACAATTCTGACATGAGTTGAAGCTAACTGAAGTCTCCAAGGTAGATATTATTATTCAAATTTTGAAGGAAAAGAAACTAGAATGCACCAAGTTTAAATTACATTTTCAACTTCATGTAGCTGACAAGAAAAAGGAAACAAAGATGAGTGTAAGAAAATTTTCATACTTTATCAACCTCAGAGCAGAGAAAACTCATTTACAAACCCCATCTCCCCTCCAATACCCCATGAAGGCAGCTCAACATTTGCTTTACTCTTTTGTTTTGTGCTGATGGTTAAATTGCTGCATAACGATGCAGGAAAATCATGGAAGCTGGCAATCAACAAGGTTTTAGGGTTTTGTTTGTTTATATGCTTGTTTTTACAAGAAGCTTGGTGGAGGGGGCACAATTACTTGAGTAGGAGTTACATTTAACACAGAGATGCTAAATTTCTTTCCTTACAAGTAATTGTTTTTCAATTAAGGTTAATGAACTAATGAGCTATTAAATTGGTGTTTGCTTTCTAATCATAAAATGAATTATTGAATTTCAATAAAGCATTAATATTTGGAAAAGATCTTAAATGTATGCTCATTTACTATATTTATAAAATATCAAAAGATAAAACCTAATAGTAATGTAAATAAGGTAATTATTTGGATTAGCTTACCCTTGAAAAGGCTCTAAAGTAATTTTTGAATACTAGAAACCATAACTCATGTATTTTGTGATATCTGCTTTCTTCATAAGAGCTTCTAATACAAGAAAATAAATTCAACATGTAGGGCTCACAGTGGACATTAAGAATATCAAAAAGCTTTCATTACATCATTCAGTGGACTTGTATTATAGGCCTATTAACAGGAATTGACTCCTTCAATCAAGGAGTTCAGAGTCTAGTGAAGAAGATGATATTTTCAATCTTTTGCTATGAAGAGGTGAAAAAGAGAGTAGAGAAGGAGAAAGCAGTAGCAAGGGAAGAATGAGGGATAGACACAGAGAAGAAACACTAGGAGGAAGACAAAGGGGGAAAAAGGTCAGTAAAAAAAGGGAAAAAGTAAAAGAAGGGGAAAGAAACATAATCTCATAAATTAATTATGTCATACCACAAACTTGTCATTGTTGTCAGATACTATCAAGGCTGCTCCAACTCACAGCAATCCCAGCAGAACCGAATGAAACACTGCCTGGTCCTGCACCATCCTCACAGTCCTTGCTATGCTTGAGCTTATCGTTGCAGCCACTGTGTCAGGACATCTTGTTGAAGGTCTTCCCCTTTTTCACTGAACTCTACTTTACCAAGCATGATCTCTTTCTCCAAGAGACTGGTTCCCCTGACAAAATGACCAAAGTAGGTGACACCAAATTTGGTCATTCTCGCTTCTAAGGAGCATCCTGGGTGCACTTCTTCCAAGACAGATTTGCTCATTCATGTAGCCAAGCTTAAATTCTAAAAGCACTCTGATTTGTGGAAGTATGGGTTTGTTGGAGCCCTAACTCCATTTTGAGTTTTGACATAAGTTCAGACACCAATTGAGCTCTTTCAAACCAACATTGTGGCTATGCATAGAAAAATTCCACGACAAACCTAAGGACAGGCAGTTTGTGCTTGGGAAGGGGGTGGTTGAAAGTAAATTGCTGTTGTTGTTAGGTACCATCAAGTCACCTCCCACTCATAGTGACCCTGTGTACAGCAGAACAAAACACT